ACAAGTTTGGAGGTAGAAGCTGTCGCCGTACCTTCTGTTTCTACAGTTCTCTTAGTGGATGGGCAAAGGAGGGTGAAAGGTCAGTAGTCTTCCGCTGCTTCTGCTCTTGTGTGTGTGGTGCTGGGGACTGAACCATGGCTTTTGCACTAAGCCTTAGCCCTAGCCCTTTATAATTACTTATTTTGAGAAAGGGTCTTGCTGTGTTATTAAATTGCTCAGAGAAGACTTGAATTTCTCATCCTTGCGCTTTACTTCCCAGGGTGCTGGGATTATAGGTGCGCCCTTGAGTCTGACTTTTAATTAATCCTTTTTTTTGGTCTTTTTGAGAAGGATCTTGCTATGCAGCTCAGGCTGGCCTTGAGCTCACTTTGTAGCTCAGGCTGGTCTTGAACTTGCAAGGATCCTCCTGCTTCATCCTCCTGAGTGCTGGGATTGTAGTCATGTGCCACTACGCCCAGCTAATTAATACTTTTATGGGCTAGAATACCAGCCTTTATCCAAGGGTTTTAATATTAAAGCATTAAAATAGCTTAGTGCTAGACATATTACAAAGTTATAATGGAAGCTTAAAATGGTTCCAGTTAAAAGCATAATAACAGTCTTTCTACTTTTAGAGTTTTTAAATGGACTGAGCCTTTAGTAATTCTATATTGAGGAGTTTTAATTGACCCACTTCTTTTAGAACCTGAAGACTGAATAATCCATAGCACAGAAGCTCAAAGAATGAAGAATTTTACACAATAATCCTTAATACTTTTTCCTAAAAAGTAGAAAAGGAAGACATGGCTGGGCTTGGTGGCACATGTCTTATAATTCCAGTACTCAGGAGGCTGAGGCAGGAGGACCGCTGAGAGTTTGAGGCCAGCCTGGGCTACATAGTGAGTTCAAGGCCAGCCTGAACAGCATGGTGAGACCCTGTCTCAAAAACCAAACAACAACCCCCCCCAACAAAATGAACAATAACAACAAAAGGAAGAAATGCAAAGCATTTAAGCGTGTTAACTGCACTATATTTTATGTAAACCGAAAGATTAAAAAAGACTGTGACTGTAGAAGAAACATTAAAGGAAATATAAAGGGAAGCTTTTAATGAAATCACAATCACTATCTTGACAACTTGCTTCTCAGTATTTCTCAGAAAATAGACTGATGCTAGAACGACTGTTTTATTTAGATTGGCTATACAACCGGGCAAACCAAGCCTATCACTTTAGCATCTACTACATAAAACATGACACAAAACTTAAAATTTAAGTACATAGTTATATAAAAGTCCAAGTGGTTTTTTTTTTTTATTGTTTTTGTCTTTTTTGAGACAGGGTCTTGCTATGCAATTCAGGCTGGGCTTGAGCTCCCTTTGTAGCCCAGGCTGGTCTCAAACTCCCAACGACCCTCCTGCCTCAGCCTCCAGAGTGCTAGGATTACAGGGGTGTGCCACCATACCCGGTGAGTCCAAGTGTTTTGACAAGCAAAATAGTTTTTTTTTTGGGTACTGAGGATGGAACCCAGAGCCTTCAACATACTAGTCAAGCACTCTACCACTGAGCCACACCCCCAGCTCTTTATTATTTTGAGACAGGGTTCACTAAATACCCTGGCTGGGCCTAAATTTGTGATCCTCCTGCCTCAGCTTTCCAGAGTGCTGGGATTACAGGCATATGCCACCATGTCTGACGACAACAGGTTTTATACCAGCCAAGTTGATTATTATTATTATTATTATTATTATTATTTTTTGGTATTGGGAATCGAACTCATGACCTCAGGGTTGCCAGGCAAGTGCTTATGCCGCTAAGCTATATCCCTGGCCCTCCTTATTCATTATTTTTTGAGATGGTTCTTTAAGGTTTAGTACTTCAATTGTTCTCTGAGGGAAAAGGACACACAAG